ATTTCATCTACAGATAAATTATGGAATAGTGTAATTTACTTCTGTACGTCAATTTGGTCTCAATGTATTTCAGTGGGCAGCTTTTAAAAGTTAAAACTGCAAGCGTAATACACGCAAATAACGTAACACTGTGTGTATTTACTTAACACAGGGCAGTTGCGCTATATCCTAGGGGAGGGCATAATAATTAATTAATAGGCATTATAGTCCAGAGGAAATTTTGCGCCCCTTCACACCTGTGCCCGGGGGGACTGCCCCCTTGCACCCTCTTGCTACGCCACTGGTTTTACATTAACTTACAGGAGTTTGCACTAGATTTGATAAGAGTTTTTAATAAAGGTTTCTTTACATCTCTCTCTCTCTCACACATAGTTTCACATATACTCATAGATCATTTGCCCTACCATATTTTTTTGTATTTATAAACTGTGAACTGTGTGATTAAATAAATATGAAGGGAAATACACCTCAAAGTCAAGACCCAAGCACCTCCAAAGGGCCTAACTCTACTCTGTGGTTAAACCATGAGATATAACACACAATAGAGAGGAAGGTAGAATAATTGGTACTACAACCAAAGGATCTTGTGGTTTTGGATGTAAAGTGGGACTTTTGCCTTTGCTGAGGTTTCTCTCTATATATATACAGGTCACCTCCCTTCGGCCAAGATCCCAGATGGCTGAGGAATGAGGACAAGCTGGAGCAATCAGAGTAAAGTTCTTTCCCAGCTAAAAGCTTAGTTTTAGAAGTGAAGATCATGTGACAAAGGATCACAAGAAAGGCAGTTGGTGAGATAGGGAGTCTGAGATCCAGTAAGGTGGCCTCTACAGAAAGCCTGAAAATACACCAGCTAGAGCAAATGAGTCTCAAACCTGGTTTGTTACAGAATGAGATGAGAACCACCATCACAAACTATTTCATCAGAAGGCAAGACAGCAAGCACTCATTGTTGATCAAATTGGCACTCAATGGACTAGAGAACCACTCTGTGAGAACAGCCTAGTAACTGAGTCAAAGGTGAGTCAAGTGGCACTTATGGTGGATGACATATGCCAACAGGAGTCATTTCACCAGAAGGTTATGCAATATGCCTTCATAGTTTGTTTTGTAAGAATGATATGGTAGACCAGCCTCTTCTAAAGGGGAGGGGGGGGGGGAAGAGAATTGTAATGCATTTATTGTGCTTTGTTTTTGTAATTATTGTTTGGCCTTTAGGTATTAAGGGCAAGTGATTTTTATGAGGGAAGAAAAAATTATATTGCCTATGTGAGTAAAGTTTGATCTGGCTTCGTTTGCTATAGCTCTAGATTTATTAAGGTAGGGGGAGACTGAAATATTGTATGTGTTCTGCCCTTTTAGTTAAAAAGTAGTTTTTAAAATCATTTTTTGTATTTCCCATATTGAATGCAGTGAGATGCTCATGCAAGTTACTGATTTTTGCTTTCTCTAGTAGTGAACACATTTAGTGTGTAAACAATAGGTTGTCTGGTTTTCTTGCAGAAATAACAAAGCATTTAATTAATGTGCTGTGCTATTCTTGTCAGAGAATAAGTCAAAGCTGTGCACATTCATGCCCTCAGCCTGTACACTTTGGGCTAGCCAAGATAATTAGTGCTAATTATGACCTTTTGGCATATTTAAGGTCATTTTTGGGCAGAAGATTTCATATATTATATAACTTAGCATTGTGTGCATGTTTTCAATATTCTCGTAACTTTTTTTAGCGGATTCCAGACAGACTCTTGCTGCATTTCCTATGTGTAATTTTCACTCATGGCAAGAGCATTAGAGATTTTATGCAGTACTAGGAGTTTCAACTTAAATGAACATGGAGATTAACTTATCATTTAACATTTGTTTTGCAAGATCCATCATCATTTATGTTCACATTAAGTGAATGGAAAGTTTGACTGTGGTGTGGGAAAGCCAACTTTCTTTCTCTTTTTATGTAGGGTGAGTCATGGTGCAATATGAGTAAATGGTTTTATAGTGTTTACGTTTAACTCTTGAAGGGATTATTTTTAAGCTTATCTTTGTTTTACTTTAATTCATTGGGGAGGGGGTTACATTGAACCTGGTACAAGTTTTTGATAAAGAGTTTCTTTACATATCTCTCTCTCATACAGTTCCACACAATCATAGATTATTGTATATAGTGTGTTGTTTTGTATTTATAAATGTGTGATTAAGTATTGTATTAATACCAGTAAAAGGCTTGGATTGTCATTGCTATTACAACTAGCACTGTAATGACTAAAGTTTAGGAATATCAATCTGGAAGATACTTGTATCACTAGTTCTTAAAATCACCTTAGGTGGCCCATCATGATATCATTCTCATAAACACCATTATATATGTATGACTTAGTCAACATGATACTTTTTCTAGTGACTGTGTCATAATTCTGAAAGTACATCTTTATAACTGCACGAAAACTTCCCTCCTTTTACAGTGTCTTAAAGTGAGACAAATCGGTCAAGAAACATAGGACAGATGGAGTAAACACTAATGTCTTCAAGACATAAAATGAGCTGAGCATAGCTTGTTTTACCAGTTCAGAATTTGGTAGAAACCAAAGCCTTAAAAGAATTATTCTTAGAAGTGCTCTGCAAAGCTTATAATAAGTAGTCACTATGAGAACATTAGTAAATACACAGAAATTAACATCTATAACTTTAATCTTTCAACATGTTTTGTCAATCAGTAAATTAGTTTGAAAAAATTACTAACAATAAAAAAGCCCATCATCAAGAAAACATGAGCTTATACAGATTATAATTTTTTTATCTTTAATGTATTTTAATAAAGTTGTGTGAGATTTATTTTAAATTCCTGAATATCCCAATACCATGTTTAGAAGACTGTGATAAATTGTAACTCAAATCCTGACTGATTTTGAACACATACAGTGTAGAAATTTTACACTTTGATGAGAGAGTTAGATGTAGGTTTATTTTTAGAATTTAATTATTTAAAAACCAACTCAAGGTAATAGAATTCAGAAGGTTTTAATTAAGGTATTTATTAACTTACATGTTTAACTAGAAATGAGAACAAGTGAAAGCATGTAAACCATGTTCTAAATCTGTAACTATAGTTAATTTGCATAAGGAGCCAACTTATATTAAATTCATCCTCTTTGTCTTAACAAAACTTCAGAATAATATAGTTTCATATAAAATTTCTCTATGCAAAATTATCCCAATAAAATATGAGATAAAAGCATTAACAGAGTTTTATAATTAGACTGTACAATATTACACATGTATCCATAAACCTGCAACTTTGAATAAAATAAAATTACATCATCTTGAAATGCAATTTTAAATCACTAGCTATATTGTAGTAACTGATATAAATTTCTATGAACAAATTTTCTTATAATAATCTAGCATTTGAGTAATTCGATCAGATTTTACTAGTGCTCCAGGTTAATGATGGTGTAAAAATATCTAGTTAGTATGCGAACTACTGTTGTTGAATTTACCTAAAGTAGAAAGTGACTAGGTGGGGAGGACAATACCTTCCACTGGTCTGTAAAGGATTGTGAATCCCTGTAATATTCCATGAATGCTGTCCAGAGATGGAGCTTCCCACTTGACTAGGATTATCTCTGATGTTAAGGGTGAGCACTGGAGGTTTCTTGGTGGTTCGCTTGGGACTGGTAAATGCAGCAACTTTTAATTTAGCTTACTAAAACATTTTTTCCAGTATATTGATATGTTTTTGTTCACAAAAATTTATAAAGCAAATACAATTGCACATATTTCAGGTTGCTTGAGTAAAGTATTATTAACAATTTTCAAATAAAAGATTTCACGCATGACTTGAAACAAAGCCCCTTATTTCAAAAAATATTAAAACTCAGCATATCACAAGAACATATGATGGTTATTTAGAGACTTCACCTAAACCATGTAATTTTTTGTTTCTAAAATCTAATCTGTCTGATGACATTTTGACTTTTAACTACATATAGTTACTGAAATTCTGTGTTTGATGATAAATAAAAGTTTAACATAGTTTGTATATTGGATTTCATGACATTTAAATACCTAATTATAAAATGAAACATGAATGAAATTTCTTGATGTGTTATTTCAAAATGAATCATTTTACTTTCTGTCAATAATAAAGTTGGTGATATGTAAATTATGGCTTTTATTATCAATTTAACAGTTTATGTTTTTGTACAATTACATTGCTTAACTTTTAACTTTAATCCAAAACTTGCCTGTTATTTATGTATTTTATGGGACCCTTAGAAACAATAACAATGAAACTCGCTTTAGATGTTGATCATCTTAATTTTGATATTGTATCTGTTTGTTAGCCACAATCTAAATAGCACCTTTGACCTTAAAATAAATCTTATGTAGTGAATATCTTTGAAAATGTTCAGAAAAATATACAGTTTTGTTGTTAACAGAAATATTAATTCATCTTATTATCATCATTATGACACACATTTACATGTATAAAAATTTCAGATTTCTGTTGCAAATTCTAAGTTTGAGTTAGGACTGAATAATGAAGGGTATTATACACCAATACAGTGAGAAAGTATTCACAAAAATGTGTATACCAACCATCTTCCAGTGTCCGAACCACCACCTCATCAGAACGAGGCCCAGCACCCATTGCATTGTATCCCTGGACTAGGATGGTATAGCTTGTGAATTTCTCAAGTTGTGACAGTAGTACCTCCTGTTGAGTGTGCTCTCCTACCTCCAAGTTTTTATACAGATAAGGAGAATCAGAGTTGAGTATCTTATAGCCTACATAGTACCCTTTCAGTGGCCCATTCCATAGTTCTTTTTCTGGTGGCTAAAATCAAGAAAGTTAAGTTTTTCTCCATTTTAAAATATTACTGAACTTGATATATAAAATTACATATTATACAGATTCTGTGAAACAGCTTTACAAACTTGTCAAAAGCATTTTTATAACAAGATTATTTCAAGCAACAGCCTTTTAGTAGAGTGAAAGATCCAGTTGTAATACATATGTTTATATAAGCTTACTATGAAATTCAAATTAACACAATTAACTCATTCTCTTTTGTAATAATATAATTTGCTACAGCAAAAAGGAGTTTCCATTGGTCCCTATGTACGTGTACATTTAATATGTACAGAATGAAGACATGTAAAAGCACAAAGTGAGAAGTAATTTATTTTGTTTTTATACACAATGGAGATAACATGAAAGGTACAAGATGCTACAAAACAAGCCAAATAAAACGATGTCTTTCACATGTTAACATGCATTAGGGCTAGTATCAGTTATATTTGAGAAATTTCACCAATGATATTGTATCTTCACAAAGTCTTAACATTTTCACTACTCTAGTTCCAATGTTGACCAGTTATAAAATTTTACTTCCAGTCAACAAAAATGTTTTCAACAGTGACTATAAACATCATGAGTCTATGATGTCAATTAACGTAACAAGTATGTTATTTCAATGCATCACATCACACATCACAAAATTCAGTATACACCAGTCTAATAACTTTGCATGTAACAACTCTATTTGTTATTTGTGTTACTAACCACATTAATGAGTTATTACAGTAAATTACTATGATAAATCTTCACGATTAATATTAATGTCTAGTCATAATATTGAATCACAACAATCTTGCTCATTTCTTGCAGTTGATGTCAGCTTACATCGATGTGTATTATATTTGATATAGAGCTTAGTCACCAATTTTCCCATTCTGTATATAAGATACAAGAAACGTATTCAATACACCATGATGTAGGTTCAAAACTAATACTTAATGGACTCCCTTTTTCATTTACAAATTCTTCTCTGTTTCAATAAAATAAATATCCATACTTGGTTGCCTTGGGGAAAATAAGATTAGAATAGAATTAAGTCAAACTAGTTTTAAGTGATATAACTGAGTAAAGTATTCAAACCTTTGTAGTTTAGACTTTACTCTTTCTATTTTTTTGTTCCCATAATGATCAATCTAAGAAAGTAATGGAGTTGTGGTAACAACTTAACAACTCTCAAACTTACATCTTGTTATGAAAGAATCTATAAATGAGAAGAATGCAATGGTTTGCATCAATACACTCAAACGTATGTTTTGTTAGGAAAGACTATCCATAAATAAGAAGAACACAATGCCTTTGTATCAAAAGAAATGCTTAGATGCCAGAGCCATTTGACAATCACAAATATTAGTTAAGATATTAAATTTGATAAATTAGTTTCTGTGAAGTAAGGACGACAGAAAATTCTATCCCTCATTAAAATTGCAACCCATGCTTGATACTATAGTTGTAGAAATTTAACCTAAAACAGATCTCTTACAGGGATGCATTACTGTTAGCCCACCTTGAACCTTACTCTTTAGAGCAGCTTTAATTACAACTTTAGTGAAAAGTTTATCATTGTAAATATATGAAATTCCAAAGTAAAGAATTTTTCCTTTCTTATTATTCAGCTATATAAAATTAAGCAACAATATTATGAGACTTAACTATCTATACATCTAATGCAATTAATATTGGTCTATCATGTAGGGATATTACGGATACATAAGATCTATGCTTATTCCACTACTATTCATGTAAGTGCCTGCTTTGTATTAATTACTATTTTTATACACTTGCTACATGTTCAAGCATTAATAATTAATTTGGGGGAGGGGGGATTTTCATATTTTTATGGTAATTGAAGAGTAATTATGAAGCTGGTTGTTATCAAGAATGAGTTTTAAATATTGCTTTATTCTAAACTTTAACCATTTCATCCTTTCATTAGGCTAAATATTTTGGTCTCAACAAAGAAATACATATTAAGAATTGATATTTAACTTTGGCAAATAAGTGTATATATTTATTTTGTCTTTAGAAAGTTTTTGCATCAAAATCTGATTTCTATCCAAAGTACCCACTTAGCTGATGGAACTGAGGTATATTTTTTTATTGAGTTTGGCTTATGGATGTTTCCAAAGTTTAAACATGGACAATAACTTAGTCTCATTAGGCCTAACTTATGTAATGCTAGATTTCACTTTTTCTCTATAAATATTGTTTTTAGTTTTCAGTTATTTGTTTTCTATAGTGTATTATTGGTATCTAAACATCTGGAAATTGTAGATGGCTCTATAACATCAGCTTTTAATCTGACAAATAATACCAACTGTGTTCTAGAGCTAAATTTCTTTTACTATCTTTACTAATAAGTTTAACATCACCAAGAAAGAGATTCTTATTTCCTTTTGTTACCAATACAACACATTTATAAGTTCTTGCTGAGTATGAATGAGCCACAAAGGAGCTTTAAATAAGTGAAACAACAGAAAATTCATTATAAATTTTCCTGAATAGAAATTAAATCTCTAAAGCTAATGAATGTGTTTTTGTTTGGGGTTATAACAACTCCTATTTTCTATTTACTACCAAGATTTTAAACTCACAGATATATATTAATGTTGAGAAGATTTGTTTTACGTTAGTACTCTCACCAACCTATAAAAAAAGGTAAGAATCAAAAAGAAAATATGTTCAGGGTATCTGAATATTTTTTATTGTTATTATCATTATTATAGCAATTTAACTAATCAATATATATAAAAGCCAAGTGTCAGTTAGTTAGTCAGTTACGCAAGTCCAATTCTACTTTTTTCCCTATAATATTTCCTCTTTTTATTGCTTGCTACCATTGTGGTTAAATTTAATTGCTAACGTAGGTGTAAATAGCTCCTAAATTTCAGCACATTTTCTGCTATCTAAAAGCCTATCAAGGAAGGAGTTCCCAAGACAAGGTCAGGCATGGTGTTATTCAGGCATTACAAAACATCCATAAGTTACAATGTTTTGGTATTCTATAGTTATTCCACTATTTAACATAGTATCATGTTAATATTTTTTGTTGTTTTTACCTACGTATCCATATGGAAATTTATAACAATTCCTCCTCATTCTTTCTAAAAACTATTTAAAATTCTCAGCATAAACACGGATATGTTGTATGGTAATTCAATGTAGTAACTTAAATTTCATATGAATCATTGCTTACCAAATCTGGAGTATATAGCAAGATTATTTAAAAGACTGTCTGCTTGTAATTGTACAGCTAATACTAGTTTCAAAGGGACTTCTGAACAGCTCATTTCCTGAAATCAAATTCAGCTGTAATCACTACTATGTGCAAGTTCTGTATCCTATAAACTCTCTTGCTCATGACAAAAAATATCTATGACCATTTCATTACTGTGGTTTCACATACCTCTGCATTGTTTTTAGGTAAGTTTAGTTTTATGAAGGAATGAAAAGGATATCTTTTTGCTTAGTTCCCGGATAAATTCTTTGGATTATGAAAAGTAATGGCAGTCAGTTTTCACCATTTTAAACTATTGTAAAGTTTCTTACAGTTTGAATGAAACAGCAGTTAGTGAGGTATCTAGAATTTCAAGGTTTTATTGTGTTGATAATAAAAACCTATGTCCAAAAACTGAAACTAACCTGCCAAGTGACCCGAACAGTTTGAGAATCCAAAGCATCTGCCTTCACTCCTCTAGGAGGACCTCCAGGAACTGTAGTAGAATAAGCCAGAACTACAAATTAATGAATTTACAAACTCAGTAACTTTATAATAACTGATCCAGACATTATGTATAAATACATTAAATCAGTACAATCATGTTATCGTCATGAGGAAGTTATAATTTCAATCTGATGACAAGGAACTAATTTCACTGAGAAGTTATTTAACATACTCAGTTAACATTTTTAAAACTTTACTGAAATATAATTAATGTGTTGGTGGATAAATCTTCATAAAACTCTGTTCAGTTATATTTAACATAGTTCTATCAGCTTCTTTGAAATATTATTTCAAACTAATGATAGAGAGTTCCTTGAAACATTACTGAAATCTAGTTTAGCTCCATTAATTAACAATGTTATATAAAGGAGAAAAGCAGCATGATATGAACTACTATTTGATAGAGGTAGTATGTTTTGGGAATGTTTTACCTTCTTCTGCTGTAATTACTGACACCAAGTCACTAGGGTGCCCAATTCCAATGTTATTCTCTGCTCTCACTCTACATCTATATGACTGTGCTGGCCTCAGTCCCATTAGTTCAGCAGAGTTCTCAATTCTGTCCACTGTTAGGTTAACGACCTGATGTTGCCAGTCTTCAAATATAATAAAGATTTATTTAGGGACAAAACTAAAATAGAAATTTCTCTCAAGTGTACAGTATACTGCAACTAACTTTTTTCATACAAACTATTTCCTGAATGTTTTAAATATTAGAATATTTTCCTGAGCTATATTTAAGACAAAATATCCGTTTCCAACACTGTATAAACACAATGAGTTTATGCACATTTTTTGCCTTTGATGTATGTGGCTGCTGAAATTTCATTGAATGCTACTACCATCAAGTAAAAAGCATTTTAAAACATTATAAAAAAATAAAGATGAATAAATTAGATTCACTAAAAATAACAACTATACTAGTGACCCAAGTTTAAAAGTCTATTAAAGTGTGTATATACGAAATGACATAATGACCTTGGCTTGGTGAACATTGTACAAGGTATCTTGTTAAATTGCTGTTTCCATTGAATGGAACTGACCATCCAATCCTGGCTGAGCGACTTTTCTTTTCTAAAACTTCAATTTTTCTTGGAGAATCAGGTGGTTCTATAGAAAACAATAACTAAAATAATTGTTCTTCACTGACATGCATTACCATAGATGTATAATAAAATGTTTAAAAATAATTGTTAATTCTAAAAAGCTTTGATTTCATACTGATTTATAATTTAAGTATAAGTGAAAAACTGACATGTAATTCAAACATAATAAAGGTTTATATCAGAAGATACTCTATCTAAAATTATGAATTTTATCAATCACTGCCAACACCACAAAGATGAACATGCAGCTTATATCTCATGAGTTGAACACTGCATTGGATTATCTTTAACTTTTCAACTGCTACATTAATGTGTCATGTGTGATGTTGCCGAATAAAAGTAAAAAGTTGATTATCACATTATAACTGATTACTTAAAAATTATAGTTAATATAAAGTCATTTCTTGGTAGAAAAATACATGATCAACATTTTCATTGTAATTAATTTTATCCAAAAATTCTGTAGTTTGTGACACTCAGCAAAACATGGAACACATAACATGTGTCCGAACTCTGTGCTTCTTTAGTCTTCTTGAACTATTACTGCAAACATGACAGTGCCTTGTAGGGTTCTATTATGAAGCTGCTGGTGGAATAAAGATGGAAAATGTCTTTCTGCAAGGCACAGAAGCCTCTCTGTTGTTGGTGAATTAGA